CCATTACAAACACAGTCATTACGGCTTATCGCTCCACGCACAGAGCTCTGCCGCCACTGGGACATGCGCTCTCATTATTCGTAAACACGACGATGTCTGCATCTAAATGCCCGCCGTGTCCTCGCCGACATGCACAGAGTAGAACCTCGGCTGTCATTGTACATGATGTCCATCCACTGCTGGAAGGGTGCCTTCCCACACCTCGTGGTTTTCATCGATTGTTTCATCGTACTTCATTGTACTGGACAGCGCGGGTTGGTGAAGGCAGAGAGGAGAGACGTAGATGCACATAAGTTCAGTGCAACAATGTGGCGGGCACGATGGCGTAGCGGTAACACTTGTGCATCGCAACAAGGGCCTATACATTTGATTCCCGTCTCAAGTGCCTTTCTCTGTGGAGTTTGGATGATATTTCCTGTTCTGAATGGATTTCCTCTGGATTCTCTGATTTCCTCCCATAGCAAAAAAAAAATCACTGGTATGTAACCAAATATCGCAATGCTGAAAAAATGACCTGCAAATGACTCAATCTAGTATTTTGCCCCTGGCCTCCAACAACCTTTGGCGGCCCTGGTGTTATTCTACAAAGAAGAGGTAAATACAAAAATATTGCTACAAATGTGCCAATTTCAGTGTATTTGCCTCCGCTCTCAACAAATGCAATGGTTATGAAAGACGCTCTAAGCCACTTCTCATTTTTGCTTGACTACATTGGGCATTGCTCACAGCTTACTCTGATCCAGCTCAACGCTTTTCGATTTCCTGTCCCGTGGTTCCATGGTGCCTCGTGCGCTTGGTGTGGGCCCTGGTGCAATGAATTTAACGAGGCCCCTTGTCCAATGTCATCTCCTTCATAGCTCGGTGCCTGGGCGCCTCCAGCCAATGGGCCCCGGTGCAGTTGCACAGCTTGTGCTTATCCCTGCCCTGAGGGCTGTTCTCCACATTTATTTAACTAGATTAGTTATAAAGGCAATGTACAATACACGTGACATATAATACAGGGTATGCAGATCATGGTGTAGGAGCATCTGTGATCGATTGGTTTAGCATAAGGGTTGGTGGAACTTGCAAAGGTAATCAATTATTATTCCTCACTTGCTGGGCTACAAGGTGGCCAGAAGATGGCAGTATAGCAAGTAGTTTAACAGGATGTACGTATCTTTTTTACCGTATTCTTTGCACTTATGAGGTTTTATCAAATACCTAAACTTATTCACACTTGCACAATAAATCCTTATATATGGTTAACAGATATATATTTTCATCGCAAGATGGAGCCCATTAAGACCAGAAACATATTTTTCACGGGAGATCTGGATTTAAATAATATAATAAAATCACCCAACAAAAGTATATACGTAAATAAAACTATACTGCAAACATAATTTAGAAAACAACACAACAATTTTAAATATCTTAAACTACAATAATATTGCATTTACAACATTTTAAGCATTAGCTTAAATACAATACATAATACGGGTAGCTAAACCCTGTTGTTTTTTTCATTAAAGGAATTGCTCAAACAAATCAATGGAGACCATGCCTCGTCCCCCAATTCCCTTTCTAGATTCACATAGGCGATCACATGCCATTGAACGGAAATTGTTTCCCTGCCCAATAAAAAAAGTCTTTCTCAACTCCATTGCTCATGACGACCCAACGGAACTGTCCAGCTTTCTGTGATTACGAGCCAATAGGTGAAGCTCCAGTGGAGCGCAATTTGCATACGAATGAAAAGATTGGTAATCCTTCCCGTGATTGCCATCCTTCAGGTGTATGCAAATGTAAAGTGGCACAATTTAGCATATGTGTAGTGGGTTCCACGGAGGCATACACTTTAACTGGGAGGCAACACGTTTGTTACACGCCCTCAACAGGGCTGCTACTCAACATAACAACACGTTAGCTAGACCCCAACAGGGTAACCACGTAACTAGATCCCAACAGGGTAACTGCTTAGCTAGACCCCAACAGGGTAACTGCTTTACCGGGTCAGGCGGTAACGTACTGCCGGACCCATGATGCCGAACGTGACGACCGAAGACCGAAGATCAAAGCGACGTAGCCCGACAGGATGATTACAGGAGACAGCCACGTTCGGCTCTCCGGACCCCCCTTTTTATCCCCTGAGCATGGCCTCGCTCCGCCCTCGGCCACATCCCCTTCTGGATCTGCCCAGAAGGTTCTGGGGCCTTCCACCACCTGTCCTTCTGGTCACCTGTCAGCCCCCCTCGTTATCCCCTACTTGTCACGTGCCCTATTGGGTCCCCCTAGCCTGTCACATCCTCGGGTATCAGAGAGAGGCTGTGATATGCGCAGTTCCTCATCTCTCAGCAGCTGGCGCTAACGGCGTAGTGACTCAATATACGTCACTATATATGTATAAAAAAGGTTTGTAATCACAGAAACGTTGGACCGTGTGGGGATGGGTCGTAAGGACTGGAGATATCTCATGTCCGTTGATGGCCTTGGACAATTCAGGGAAATGCCACCCCTGGTTGTGTATTAAGTGGGTACAGCCCAAAACAACATCTCTACAGCGCTGTAGCTATGACCATAAAGTGGCAACAAAGAACAAATACATTATAAGGTAGCATTCGTTACACACAAAGTGATTGCAACAAATGAACCACAACACCAGGCTGATCTCGTCAAGCAGCATAAACCATCACGCGAACTCCGGTCATCCTCGCAGCGGCTTTTGACTAGCCATCAAACAAAAACGGTTACCACATCGCGCGCTTTCAGATGCATTTCTGCGGCCGTTTGGAACCCTCTTCCTCTCGATATGAGGAAGTCACTGGAGCTATTTACTTTCAAATCAAGATTGAAAACTGAATTCTTTTAACTGCCTTTTGTGTTAAATTTGTTGCCCTTCCCCTGCACCTCCGATTACTGTTGGCTATGTACGGTGTGATAGAAGTTCAACATACAAAGAGGTTCAATGCCTTTGACCAGCACTATCTACCCCCTATGAAATAGCATTACAACATATACAGACAACTCTAAAATACAGTCCCTGTACACTACTTCCCAGTTTACTTGTATAACAGAAGCTCAATTGTCATATTAACTGCTAATGATGTTGAAAATTAAACTAATTTTACAATGATGAATTTTAAACAAGAAACTAAAACAAAAAAATGTTTACTCAAAGTTTCCCATGGGGCCACGGAGCGTTTCTCAGCCGTTGATAAAGAGATATGTGATTTAGAATTGCTTGGCTACAACCGACACACTAAGTCTTTGTGATCGCAACCAGGCGACACCAAGAAGAAACCAAAACTCACAGCTTACTTGGTGTACAATACAAAAAAACCCTCTTATTTTATATATATGTGTAGTGAGTCACTTCTGAGACACTATTTTAGGAGGCAACAACGTTGATTCTACACTATATATCTTACACACTGTTCACACACGGGATAACTAATTACGGGTCAGAGCAGCCAACATGCTGTCTGACGCACGACGCCGGAGACGGAGACAAAGACGTAGCACCTCGGGTTCCATTCCACCTGTAGACAGCCCTGACTCAGCCTCGGGGCTTCCCTTTTATGCCCCTCAGCGTGGCCTGGCTCCTCCCTTGGCCACGCCTCCTTCTAGAACCTTTCAGAAGGTTCTCTATTAGCTTTCTTCACTTATTACAGTGAATTTGGCTGTAACGGTTTCACCTGAAGACGGAAGCTTGTGTTGCCTCCGAAACGTCGTGATTTAATTTAGTTGTTTTTCCATTTATTAATTTTTTACCTACGTGACTTTACCGAAAAAACCAAAGAGTACTTCCAAAAGGTCCTGGGCCGACCTCCACGTGCCAACTGCCCGGCTCCGCCCTTAACCACGCCCCCTCCTGGAACCCTCCAGAAGGTCCTGGGCCATGCTCCCCGTGTCCCCTCGGTCACCTTTTCCGTACATCCTTCACCCCCGCCCATCATGTGCTTTCCCAGCCGGCCGGGGTGACGTGTCCCCACATGCCCCTCTGCAACAGCAGCCAGTACCACGCACCCTAGCGACCCACTGCTGTGCTGGCTGCGACACCCATATTTTCTTATTCTATTGTACCCAGCGCTACGCGCCGTAGTGATCCATTCTATGTCACTACACATGTACCACCAAAGTCTATGATGAATTACGCCCATTGTAGGCATCAGCATGTGCAGTTTTATAGTAAATCACGTGAACTTCATAACCCAACGCTTCTTTTTTTGTGGGCCATCCATCGCCGCAACAATGATATTGTAGCTTGAAGATGAATGGCTACAACTAAAATGCTGGCGAAGTTTCAAGGAACAGGTCACCAACCTTTGCGATTCATGCAGGGGCTGATGTCAATTGAAATATTGAGTATGCATGATGCGATACAATAACCATTGATTCATAAGCATCTAAATGGAACTGCGTTTAAAGGGGCTGCATTTATACAGGTAATATTACAAGCACCTCTTAAGTAGAGGTCATGAAAACCTGTAATGTGCTGTCTACAAATGAGAACAACCACTCTTGGCTACATGAATCAAAGTAATCCACATAGCACCTGCAGACGAGCTGACTTCATCGCCCCATCGCATTAGTGGAAATCCTATGCATCCAATTCCTCGGCTGCCACTCCATCATCCCAAATAGCGACGTGTCCTGCCTAAGCTCATTTACTTTTTGTAACAGTTCTAATGATTGTATGGCCTTAACGTGCAATGTTCTCGTTACTTATTACGAGGCAATGAGCACATAACATTCCTATTTTAAGGGCAAATGTGTGCCAAATGTAACACACCAATTCTATACAAACAACGGTGCATTTTTAACATTCAGCGAATGTCAAACGTCCTAGACTGCAATAGCTGCGCTGCACCCAATATTAAATTCCTCATATTTGTGTAAATCTGTCAGAGACACACAAAGCTGACAGAGGAGATCCGGATCTGGGAATTTTTTTTTGGCCACAAATATTTCAGTGCAAACCTCTCTTTGCTCGTCAGTTCAACATTCTTGAGCGAGGTGTCTGGGCCATCCCATTTAAAAGGGTCCCTTCTCGGTGGGCTCCAGCAAGTTTTTCATTGCAGTGAAAGGACCGTGACCGGTGTTAAGCTATGGCTCCAATAGATAGGCCATGTTTCTGGTCCATTTTGGTCATCAGCTTAATCTTAACAATTCCTGCTTTGGCACAGAGGACGCGTGTGCCTAGTAGCAAGGACAAGTTCAGACCTACATTTGAAATCAATTTGCAGTCACCAGCTACAAGCAATGCCGCCCAAGCAGGTATTTCTGCACAATGCAGCTTTCTGCAGTACATTTTCCAAGCTTCTCATTATGAGAAATATTGTATCTGGTGTAAGCTTTGAAGGTGAAATGTGTTTTTTATAATACAAGCAATTAACTGAACACCTAGTGGCATTTTAACAATATTTAGTGAATGTGAAATGCCTTTGAATGACACGCGTACAACATGTGTGCATATAAATTACAAGATTGTGTTTATAATTTTGCTTTAGCACAATTGGGCTTCTTTGTAATTGTCATGAACGTTATTTCGTGTCAAACTTCCAAACAAATCAGGCTCAAAACCACCTCCGTGTGCTGACAAAACCACTGTATGCTTTGGACCACAAAGCAACCTTTGATGAAATGTTTGCACATCTCAACGGTCCGTGCTTATATTAGTGGTGATCTCATTAAATGTGCGCTATAAATTACCGTGTGTATATTTGGTGATCAAAAGATTGTTTTCCTTTAGAGAGGAAATTGAAAATAATAAAATATATGCAGTAAAAATATAAATTATGCAAGAAAATAGCTTTCTTCTTTCATGCCTTGCAAACTACAATTTGACATTAAGCAATTCACTCATTCCGTAAATCTCAGAGGAACGCATAAATTCCTGGGAATTATACTGGTTACATAATTGAGCTAAGCCTGGTTGAATTGATTGGAAATATATTTATTTTTTTAAATGAATGCATGGAAATGAAGATGAATATTTAAGAACCTGCAAGATGAATTTATTTTTATTCTGGAGGGAGTGGTGGTCCGGTGGTTCATGCATTGCGTGACAAACCTGGCTACCTGAGTTTGATTCTCAGCCACAGCTAACATCAGTGATGATATCGAACTGACTGGTCCTGCCCCCCGCCCCTTTCACTAACCTGCTCTGATCAGATTGTGGAGCGTGGTAAAATAACCTCCATGACTCACACAGCACGGGAAGACCTTCATTTAGTCGTGGAATGTAAATTATTATTCCTCCGTTACTGAATTGCTTGACATTTGTGTTTTAAATTGGCATACATTTTGCAAAATAGCACGAGTTCGTATTCTATTGGAATTCACTGCAAGCATGGTTCATTTCGCGTTTGATTTCCACAGAAAATTGCCTTACATTCATGTTGTCAGAATCCAGTGATTTGCATGTGATGGATATAACAGAGGTACTGTCTAACCAGTCTCAGGACTCAAGCGGTTCATTGCAAGGAATGTGGGAAGTGAAAATGTACATTTTTAATCAAATACCTTGTCACAACAGCAAGTGTTCTGTCTTTCTATGCATGATCTTTTCAAGTTACGTTATGATTCTAGACTTCTATTTAAGTATTTGCAGAATTAACTCTTCTGCCAACAATTTTAATTTTAATAGAAGGACATTTCCACCTAGTGTTGGTGCCAACACATAAATTATGCACTACAGTCAACATCATTCCCTCTATAAAAAAATAATAAAAAAACAGAATACAGTTTGCATATATAATGGTTCTAAATGAGACTGTATAACCTGGCTGACTTCCACCATCGGAATTATTTGAAGGGAAGAGCAGAAGGAACAAAAGTTTTAATGCTTTAGGGCAGAGGGAGATGAGTTGACAGAATGGTAAATGTGGTAATGAGACACTTAACAGAGAGAAGCAAAACGCATTGAATGTGATTCTGAGCAGTTGACGTGGGAATAAATTTAAAAAAAAGTGTGCCGAGGTGCCTGGGTGGTTAAGATGTCAGCATGCTATGGCGGCACCACCTGAGCTTGAATCTGGGTTTCTGCCACCCATGAAGAACTATTTACATTTTACATTTAGCTTTTTATCCACGAAAGCCACACTGTGTTAGCGTACACATTTTTACTTTTTTAATTAAAGATGTGATTTAAGTGGGAGGAAACCGTTGCACTCTGAGAAACCCCACGCGCATGAGGGGGCAACACTCTATTCCAGTACAGAATGAAACAGATGGCGATTAGTCCGCTTGCTGTACCACCTTCTCCTGGCAATCCAGGGTATGGCACGTCGACACCCAAGGGAAGGAAGTTCCCACAACATGTTTGAACCACCACCCTCGCTGCCTCCACAGTGCTGGATTACAGTCATGCGTCACCACTGCCCAAATCGGTTCATCAATTTAGTTTTGGGCTTCATCTTTGGCTAAATTCTAGCTCTGAGAATAAACAAAAATATATTGCATTGACTGCTATATGTTCACATAATTGCATTGCAGAGTGCTTGAGTAAGTACAACCCTCACTGCGTGAAGGATAGTAAAAAAAATCAGGCCACATGAAGAAAAGGTCTTTTTTGGGAGAGATCCTGTGAAACATGTCTTCTGCAGCCATCCTTTGGCACACAGGGTGCACTAAGTCGCAGGATTTCTGAATTGATTGTTCATCTCATGTTATTATGCTACTGGAATGCATTTTAATAAATTGATGCTTATCAATATATCTTGAACTAAAGGTGCAAATTCCACATTCAGTTGGCATGAGCAAGTCACTCCGTGGACAATCTAAACTCGCTTGCCTAAAATAATAATGCATGCTGACGCGACTTTTGAAACTTGTGCAAAATAAAAAAAATTGCTCTAAGAAGAAACTGAAAAGTAAAAAAAAAATCGAATCTGACATCACTCACGTGTGCTTCTCGCAGGTGGGCAGTGCACCAGCAAGATCCTCGACCTCCTGTTCATCATCGACAGCTCTCGCAGCGTGCGCATCCACGAGTTCGAGAAGGTGAAGCTCTTCATGATCGATGTTATCGACTCGCTGGACATCAGCCCCGATGGCACCCGCGTAGCCATGCTGCAGTACGCCAGCACGGTGCAGAACGAGTTCTCCTTCAACACATTCTTCAACAAGGATGACATGAAGAAGGCGGTGGCGGGTATCGATCCGCTCTCCACGGGCACCATGACGGGCCTGGCGATCCGCTACGCCATGGACGTGGCCTTCACGGAGAAGGAGGGCGCCCGCCCGCCGTCAAAGAAAATCCCCAAGGTGTGACGGCGGCACGCAGGGCTCGATTCAGTTTGAGAGGAGGTGGTGGTGGTGGTTGTGGCCTGGTGCTGTTTCAGCCTCGGTCGGGGGGGACTCTATTTGTATCTTCAATTCCTTTGCTTAAATGAATCAATAAGTCTCCTTATAAAACGCACCTCATATCAATAAAGGCATCTCAGAGATGTTTAAGTAAAATAAAAATTGCATGAATGCCCAACACTTAAACTATACGAGACATTTAATTGAAGCTGTGGCTCGGAATCAATATCAGGTCACCTGGTTCACAGCGCAGTGCACTAACAATGTTGCCAGTGATGCAATGCTTATGTAACCACTGCATTTCGCTGTTGTGAATGACCATTTCGAGTCTGTGTTTTGGCTGGGTGGTATATGGAGAGCAACGGTTTGTGATGCTGCGAGGTTGAGTAGCACCAGGGCTGTTAAGGTAATATGTGGCTGGGCTTAATTAAAATGTATTATTCTATACATTGTGTAAAATTCCTTTGTTTTGTTAACAACTACACTAACACTCCTCAAGGGGAACTCATGGAAACCTCACTGTAACTCCTTAAGATAGCCACTTGAGTGCATGGCAAAAGCTTGGAAGAAGAAATGCTGAACAGCCTAACCTTAAAAATCATATTTGGTACGTAAGATGTTTTATAAACTAAACTATTTTTATTTGATCAGGTAAGCCCCAATGAGCTATATAATTGTTTTTTTCAGAAGCGACCTGGCCACAAAGAATAGCTCAACAAAGTGAATTATGTAGAAATGTATAGGAGCCAAATACTCTCTAAACACATGTTTCTACATCTGACGACCCGGAGAAAAATGAACGCGACCACTTGGAGAACGTGCAAACTGCAAATATACAGACATTAGGGTCGGAATCGAACCCACCTCCTCTATACCAGACGAGGTAGTTAACATCTTGCCACCGTGGCCACTGTGTGTACTTGTGTGGTTGATAGGTGGCCATCGTGGTGACGGACGGGAGACCCCAGGACCGGGTAGTGGAGGTCTCGGAGCAGGCGAGGGCCTCGGGCATCGTGATTTACGCCGTTGGTGTGGACCAGGCGGAAGTCTCCTCCTTGGAGGCCATTGCCACTGATCCTGATGAGGAGCATGTCTACTACGTGGAGTCCTATGGCGTCATTGAGAAGCTCAGCCTCAAGTTCCGGGACAGGTTTTGTGGTGAATCAGAGCTTAAGACTACGCGAATCACAAACAGTATTCCTCCGTTATTCGCGAGGGCTACGTTCTGGAGATGCGTGTGAATAGCAAATAAACACATATCACTTTTCACAATACAAAAACACAATTCATCAACCACATTAATTCCATACACCCAGCCATCAAATTCACCATGGAGGTGGAAAAGGATGGCAAGCTAACATTTTTAGATGTTCTAATCGAAAAGAGACCAGATGGCTCAATGGGACACTCTGTCTACAGGAAAGCCACCCATAAAGATGCCTACCTAAAACCTGACTCCCACCACCATCCATCCCAGAATAATTCCCTCATCAAAACTCTACACCGTAGAGCTCAATGTATCTCCGACCATCATCACCTAGCCAGTGAACTGGAACACGTACACCAAGCTCTCAAGATGAATGGATATTCGGACCACATAATCCGTAAAGCTATCACCCCAACCGTTGGGAAAGAACCATCTGAGGACCCAATCAAACGCATCACCTTGCCATACATAGCAGGGGTCACCAAAAAGATTTCCAAAATATTTAGCATTTACATTTTATCACCAAGAGATCTGCATGTTAGAATGATTGGAAAGGTGATGTGGAGACGTTACCGTTGCACTGTAGATACGCAGTGATGCTGTCACGGATGGATGACACAGCATGCTGGGTTCTTTTGTCTGATCTCATGGCGCATTCCGTGTGAAATTTCGTTCACACGAAAATTAGATTTCGTTAATAGAAATGTCCGTAATTTGTCAATTGCATTATCGTGAAAATTCGTAAACCAACCGTTCGGAAATCGAGGGATACATCTACATTGTAATGACCTTTTTGAAGAGATAGGATGATGAAGTGTGTCACCAATGTTATCCAGTATATGCTTGTACTATCATTCTAAAAATAGAAAACCTAAATTTTCTGATATGATTCTCACAAAACGAAGGCTTTTTAGGTTGATTAGTTTCGTTCACAACTCAGGCTCAACAAAAGTTCTACACTGCTTTAAGTCTCGTGGAAAATTACACGATCGTCATTTAACTCAAATTATACGATGACCATCACGAGTGAATACAGTACGTATGTGTCCAATGATGTTAACCATTGCTGAGAATGAAACTCAGGTGGTCGGGTTCTTAGCACAAACCACGCACCTAGCATATGAAATGCGTACGCAATACATGGAACAGTTAATTAGTGGTTCTCAACTCAGTGTCCAGTGCACACTCAAGGGGTTCAGGGGCTATGACTACTTGCAGGGGGCAGTGTTAAAATGAAAAAATTGATAATGAAAAGCTACAGGGGGCCACAAACACCTGCGGAGTTTAGAGTTTGTCTTCAAAGCCTTGGTGTAACTATTGGCTGCGTATGCGGTGCGGTTGCCAGAAGGTGCATTTTCATTCCTTTCACCAGGGCACATGCCAACCGCGCTACGTCACTGATTAGTAGAACCATTGCAAAGTCTGATTAGATTATTCACGAGGTGTAAATATAGTGTCGACGCACTGACCACTGTGTAAATATAAAACGCCCTACTCGTGGGGCCACCATGACACATTGCTATAGTTGAGAAGTTGAGAACCATAATAACGGTTTTTGGGTTAGATCGCTTCAATATAAATGTGCCATTAACCCACCACCACCCGACACAACTAATTAGTAAGGTTTGTCATGTAACATTCCCCCGCACCTCTGATTAACATGGTTGGCTATGTATGGTGTGAAAGAAGTATCAATATGCATACAACAAAACGTGTCAATTAGCTATTACTTCAGCACATCGGTGTGATGGTGAGTAAACCCACAACATTTCACCACTGAAACGTCTTACTCAATTGTAAATGTTGTGGATTTACTCGCCATCACACCGATATGCTGAAGTAATTGCTAATTGGCACCTTTTGTTCACGTGACGAACCTTACTAACTGGATGTGCCCGGTGGTAATGGTTTAACAACGCATTTGTATTTACACGCTCTAACCCAAAAAACCTTTATTATGAAAAATATTGGTCGCAAAAGCCGACGTGTTATGCGGTGCATTATTACCATTCCATTTCCATGTTAAACCTGGTGACCTTCCCCATTGTCACTGTCAGACATTTCCAAAATAATGCTCGGAGCTTATCTCTGCTGATGCCACTCTCCAATTTGCTGCTAATCCTTCACGATGTGTGCACGTAACATAACAATAATGTATTAATAATTATAGCTCTTTGTCAATCCACTGTTGAAAAAAGGCCTCTCTACCCTGCGTTCGTCATGGGGGGTTTTGACCATTCTTCACCGTGCGCATTAGTGCAGGTTAGTGAAGAGGGGTGGTGGTGGGGGGGGGGCAAGACCGATTGACGCAATCACTCACCACTGGTGTTTGTCGTGACTGAGAATTATACTCAGGTATAAAACAGGGTCCTAACCACTGCACCATCACTCCAACCACACATACACATGATATTGCACATCAATACATCTCCACGGATTTCCAGGTAAGATTTCGTTTCACCCGCCTTATGTGAAATTTTATTTGTGCGTACCTATGCGTTTCACAGGTGTGAAACCGTGCGCCGTGGTGGACCACGGCTGCGAGCAGATCTGCGTGGACTCGCAAAACTCCTACCACTGCAAATGTTATGATAACTACACGCTCAACGCCGACAAGAAGACCTGTTCACGTGAGCCTCACCCTACCCTTGCACTGAGCAGCAGAACTATTGCTGCGCCTCATTAACAACCTGCCTTTGGATTTCCACCGACAATACCTCTTCCTGGAGTATTCCAAATTAATATTATTTTTTATGTTAGTTGAGAAGGCCCATTGAGCAATATAGCTTTTGTTTCAGAAGTGGCCTGGCCACAAATGGTATCTCAACCAAGTGGCTTATCACGTGGAAATGTATAGCAGTCAAATACTCTAAACGCATGTTTCTACATGTAGCGGGAATACCAGAGGACCAGGAGAAAAATACACGTGACCACAGGAAGAACATTCAAACTCCAAATATACAGGACAAGCATCAGGGTCGGGATCGAACCCACAACCTCCTGTATACCAGGCGAGGGAGTTAACATAATTTCACCCAATCTGACACATTAGTTAACACGTTATTTCTCAAGTTTGCATTCTATTTATGCAATAATCTCACAAAACGTTGGCTGAGGGAGGATAGTTGTAGTTGTGGTGGTGTTGTTGTTATTTTAGTCACCAATCTGACACAAGGGACATAAAAAGTTGCTACCGATCATTATAATTTAATAGTTTTTTTGGCTTCACAAACCCTTATATTGATATTCACTTACTTGTTTGTATTAATAAGAAAAGACTACTGGAAAATTGTAATTGGAAAGATGGAATGACTGAAAGAGGGCAGGAATGATTACCAAAATGTGTCAAAAAGTTTAGTAAAATAAGAGATGTCACTTTAGAATGCATATTAAACAAAGGTGTGCCCTCTAGCATGGAATGGTTCAGGCATTGGGCACTTGAAGGGAATTCATCTAGTGAATTTCCTATTATTTCTTGATCATACACCAGGTAAAAGTTCAGAAACAAACATCAGTTTTGGGAAATCGGACAGATCCTTTTCTCCAAAGCAGTTTTCATGCTCTCTGTAAATAATGAGAAACATGTCAGTCAGATACAAATGCTCGGGCTAGAAACAAATGAACCGTTCATGTTAAAACTGTGTTTGCCAATTGGAGACATTGCAATAGCTTGCCAGACAGTCTGTAAATATTGCGTGTCTTTTGTGCAACTTGCCTTAAAAAGCAAAACCTAAATTGTTGTGTTTAAAGTCAGTTCAAATTAGAATGCAATCAGTATAAAACAGCAAGCGTTTGTGAAAGTTAGTTTTAAATTGACAAAATATAAATGCATGGGAATTATTTAGCAAAATAATCTACACAACTCAGCTTGAATTTGAACGGTGCAATGATAATGGTAACTCACGTTCGTGATCGGTGATGAAGAGAGACAAAAAATGTAGCAAAAATTTCTGACTGATTAAAAAAAATTATATTTTAAAGATGTCCCCCCCCCCCCGTATTTTAACATTGAACAAGCATTTGAGTGCACAAAAAGTTGGGTAGAATACATTACACCTCCTTAAAGTGTGTATACATTTTATTATAACGCTCGTGTCAGAGTGGACACGTTACATTTTGTACGCTGGTAGTAAGGGACGTCACAATCAGTTGCATAAAACACGCGTACGTACTACATTTAATGTTCTATGCATTTGCAACAACTTTTAAACATTTAGAGTTTTAAATGAGACTTTCTGCGAATTGAAGTGAGATTGTAGACAGAGGCGCTTACTCTGCAGAGGGTGGATTGCATGGATCAGTAATGCTACGTTGGTATAAAATGCGCGGACTCTGCATTTACGCCTAAACAACTAGACTTAAGTAGGTACACGTATACATCTTCACCTACACAGTCTATGTACAGTGTGAAATCACGGCAGGGAAGTAATACTCATGCATTAATTTACGGACGAGAAGCAGAGAGCTACATGTGTGAGTGCATGCAAGATGCACAATGTACACTGTGTAAACAACCAAAGGGAGTCATACAGTCATAAGGCTGGGGACAGAGTGAAAGAAATGGTCTATCCAGTGAGATGGTGAATGCTACATATTAGTCAGTATAATAACAGGAAGGCATCTAAACACCGTACTGAGTAAACGAAATGTAATAAATGAATGCATAGCATTTGGAAGATAGCATACATATTTACAGTATGCATTGCTGTACATTGAGATGCTATAAACATGTGAAATCAATATTAATGAAATGTCTTCTTCCAAGCGTACACATTTTCGTCACATGCTTTTAATAAAATTAACAAACAAACAGCTACTTTACACTTTACACGAATATCTTTGCTCGCGAGTTCCCGCTTGTCTTTTGACGATAATTCGACAGTACCCTGTCAATATTGTAACATCGATTGGGGGGGGGGGGGATTGGTGGTTGCTCATTGCATTCTGCTTGCATTTTCTGCCGCGCTGTTTGAGTTTCCACACCGCTTGCAACCAAAACCTGCATTATTGATGCTTCCTTGACCCATATGCCACTGTCGGGGCTCACGCTGTGCGTAGTTCGTTGCTAACCACAACTCCATGCGCCCCTCGTGTTGACAACACCTCCCAGCGCTGCTCTTGACACGAAGCAAATGGCTCTTCGCACAGACATAACCCCCCCCCCGCCACGTGTTTGCGCACAGTTTGCTAGAAACGACCACAACGAAACATCGAGCAGACGTGGTTTAATGTCCAGGACAATATAATTTCTCCCAGCTGAAGACACTTTGTGTTTAACTTTTGCATGTTGCTGGAGTTTCTCACACAAAACACTACTCGCTCACCTGCCACCTGAACACGCATTTTGTTTAATGCTGGGGGGGATCTGAAAGGGGAAGTGCTAGGTTGTGATGTTTGAAAGGAGGGTTGTCGGTGCTAATGAGAGGAATGAGATGTTCCATTAACACAACAAAAAACATGTAAATATCCAGCTGTTTTCGCGAACAGCAATAATTAATATACTAAATAAGTAGAATTCAGTGACAATTATGCTTCAGTGATTCCAATCAAATTAGCAGTGTTGTATAATGAACCTCGGGTTTCTTTTTGCGTGTACATGGGAACTGTTTTTAATTGTTATCATCGTTTTAACATTGACATTGTGTTAGGGCAACTGTAGTCTATGCAGTAAATGAGGGGCAAACAGCAATGTTAAATGAGCCAACGGTTTTAATTGTATCCTTTAGAATTCTGGTCAAGGTCCATTACACTTAGACAAAATTGTTATTTAAAATGTGATTACTCGTAATTGGGGGAAAAGGTACATATTTGACTTCCAGACGACTTAATTACACTGCCATTACACCAGTAATTGTGAGTGTGTATTTGTTCATTCGTATATTCATGTATTTGTACAGAACTTGTAAGTTGTATTTAGCGGAAGTATGGAAAGTGTTACATTTACTTAGATATTATATTGTGGAAGAATCTGCGGCAACTGCATATTTTTGCTTGATTATATAAATTCATCCTCATGTCATAAAATAGTACTTATTTAAACTGCGTGCATGTCCATGCACTATTACGTTTCTTCGAGTGTGTTTTTGTGTTTGTTTACTAATGTCATAGTTATGGCAACATTGCGTCACTTGTTTTTCTCTAGTCAAGAAGCTGTGTTCCGTGGTTAATCATGGATGCCAGCACATTTGTGTCGACACTCCCGGCTCCTACTACTGCCGGTGCAATGAAGGATACATCTTAAATGAGGACAAAAAAACCTGCTCGCGTAAGGACCCTCTTGCGTCATTAGCTGCTACGCCAGACACATTGAACTTGTAGGAAATTTCTGCCCCGTTTCTGTGTTGGTTGTGACTGGTTGCTGCGATATACTTTTTCACGATACGATGTTAAATTTAATGATGTGACAATTATTGCAAAATCAATTTCCAATAAAAAATTTTACGTCTTCGTTTTTTGTATAAATATTAAAAAGTTCTTCAACTGCAATGCACTCAGCATACACCTGCCATAAGTTTTTTTTCTGAGCATTCAACTTTACTATGTATAATGCTTACAGTGCACATGCTGTCCGTTGCAAATTAATAAAATGAACGACAACAAAGATGACATTCTACACAGAAATAGCTGTGCCATCAATTATTCTGAAAAAAAATGTGCAATTGGAATACAATTGGAGAAAAAGACAATTAAAAAGAAAACTACAACATTTTTGGGGAGATAGATTCATACAATCCAACACATCAAAATAACAGCACTTTCAGTACCGATGGCAAAACACCAGAGTAAAGAATAATGGATAATAGCAATTTTAACAACTTCAATTACTAAGTGGCTTATTTAATGTTTCAGAAAAAAAAAATATATATATATAATTAAGCTATTAAAACAATATAGCCTGAGCGGTGATAATCACGATATTTTTGGATTAATATGTTTTGCAACAACGAACCTTGGTCCTTATATTGCACGGTATATTGTATTATCGGCATATCGCGGCAACCATGGTTGTGATGTTTAATTGCGGTTGAAAGCGTCCCCGATGTGTTTACTCACAGGCCTTGTGCTTGACATTTGTGCCACAATTGAGCATGGCTGTGAGCATATCTGCGTGAGCACTGCGACCTCCTACTACTGCCAATGCAGTCAGGGGTACAACCTCAACGGTGATGGCAAGACTTGCAGACGTGAGTTCATATCACACCACTAATCACATACATCCCATACATCCTAATGTCACGCATGGTCATGCTAACAATACTAATAGATTAAATCCACCGCTTACGTGTATTAAAAATGAAAGCCACTACTCTTAAATGAAATAGCTACAGTGTAAGTTGGCTGGATGGCTCAGAGTGCAGAGCTGGCACTGCTGAGACCCTGCATTCGAATGGAGGCAGCCGCCCATGATTAAATGTCGTGAGTTGATGGTCTCACCCCGGTCACCACGTTAAGAAAACCAACATTAAATTTGTTTCCGCAATTACTTTTGCGAAACTCCAGCTCTGATAATTAAATATATCAGTTGGACTGTCAAGCGTCGAACATTATTCGCAGTGGCAGTGAGTGGGACCGGCAATCACTTGAAGGGATTTCAGAGTAAGCTCTGTGATATGCACTTGTGTGGATCATGCTCAAACATAGAGGGTCGTGCTGCTCTGTACGAGATCTGAAATGAGAAAGATTCGTAATTTCATGACACGAAGCCAATAGCACAATCTGAATACAATTGGAGAAAAAAATAAGACAAAAAGATTTAAACTACCAAATGTTAAATTTCGATTTGAGGCTTTCGTGACTGCAGGAATCCATCTTCTTGGTTCTTTCGGTAAAGTCACGTAGAAGGGAAATAATTAAATAATAAAAATAAAACATTATAAAATAATTCTCACGACGTTTCGGCCACAACGCAAGCAGCAAATGTTACTACAGACGCATACAATCCACCACATCATAATAACAGTACTTGCAGTACTGATCGCAAAACACCAGAGTAAAAAATATGACCATTGACATAATCATCTCCATTGTCATAATTACCAGCCATTGTTGATACTATTACCAAATCATACGCAACCTTATGATAAGTATTGTCATAATACTAGCGCATTTCAATAAGAAAGATACTTTATTAACTCTGTACTCTCCTTTAAGTCAGTGCGACTGGGTACAAAAAAAGGATATCGAATGGGGTGTGACCTGTATTTTCACGTGCAAAACGTTAATGTCCACATATTTGCAGCAGATAGCAGATGTATCACGTGATCAACGATGGCAGCACCCCTGCACAATTTATAATTCTAAGATCAGTGAGTTTTCTTTTTTACCTCTGAGGATGTAAAGACAAGTGAGGTTTATTGCAGAATTAAGCAATAGCCAATGAATACGTGTAACGTGTACTGCCCTTAATAATGACAATTGGAAACGTGTTCGGAATGTGGCGCATTGAGATGAATATACATTGCCGTCATGATGGAAACCTGGTGAACGAGGCACCACAATGGCAATGCTCGTTTGCTTTACAGTCGTCCCCTAATTTTTTTGCCAGCCACTAGCAATGTATGGTCGTGCAGGGTTACTGTCATCCTTGCCCACTTGATACATCTCCTTCTTAGCAGATAAACCAGAAAAAAATAAGATTGCGTGCAAGAACCAGGATCACACTGCATTCACTACTTTAATTGTACCTGAATTGCACTAACATTGGTTGTGGAATTGTTAAAAGTCTCTTTACTTATTGAAATATCATCATAATAACCACGATGATACAGAATCATTCATTTAATTCATTTCATGAACAAGGATGTTGGTTACATTACAACCCCATTTACTCCCCGTTAGAAGAGCAATACAGTAATACACCAGAGACAAAATCCTCCCTCAATGGCAAGGCTATTTACAACTCCACGTACTCTTGGGAAGGCACGCTTGAGATTAACAAACACTAATTAGGCAAATTAGTACACACAGGCTTTAATTTACGACCAGCATCTATTAACAATTCAGAGAATAAATGTAAGCACGCCCCATGGGTATTGAGGGAAAAAAGACAAATCCTTGGCCAGCGTTTTCCATTCGTTATTTCCCCCTTTTCTGTTTTGCTCACACATTCTTCCCACTCAGGGTAAAAGAACATTAGCGCTGTTGAGCAGTAGCACATCTATCAACAGCAGGAGAAAGCACACCGATTCTGTTCACATTAGTGTCCCTGTTGGTGCCCTCTACATGGAGGTTCACAACAATCAAGGCCAATGCTTGAAATCAATTTCAAGAAACGCCCTTTCGCACCACACTTGTTACACTTGTTGGCTAGTGATCTGTCGTGAGGCTGTGCCGATGATGTCGCAACTCCACACAGGATGAAGATGTGCAAATGGCAACGCTCACCTGTGTTGATGATTCCACAGAATGTAGGTTGGCCAGTTTAGACGTAGTGTTTGTTGTCGACGGCTCAAAAAGTGTCAAGTCCAAGAACTTTGAGCACATCAAGGAGTTTGTGAACCGTGTGGTGGACGCCCTGGAGGTGGGTCCAGGTGCGACGCGCGTGGGGCTGATTCAATACTCAACACGCGTCCAGACGGAACTTGCTCTCGGACAGCACACCACGGCAGAGGCCATCAAGGCGGCTGTGAAAGGCGTCCGCTACATGGGCCGTGGATCCATGACGGGCATTGCCCTCCACCACCTGGTAACGCAGGGCTTTGCACCAGCCGGTGGCATTGGAAAAGAGGTGGCTGCTGGCATTTCAGTGCCCGGCAAGGCCCCCCCCCGTAAGGTGGCTATAATATTTAGTGACGGCCGCTCACAGGACAATATCAACCCGTGGACCACACAGGCCAAGGAGGCAGGTGAGCACACCGTGTCTGGCAGAGTCGTTTTGAAGACGATTAACCTCCTAATCCACAAACCTGGTGAAGCATGCTCAAGAGAACGCCAGCAAAGAAGCGCATTGCCCTCCTTTTAACATTCTATGGAATGGATTGCATGTTTTGACGCATGGTTGGCCTATCTTCATCTCTTCTCAGTTATTTTGGAGCGCACACGCTGAGATATACGGCAGCACTCGTTAACCCTGTTGCCCCTCTCAGGCCGTGCTCGCTGAAAAGATGTCTTCATTTTTCCTCGTAAGTGGTTCGCGTAAACTAAACGTCGCATGCGCCCTCTGGATGCTCACAAAGTCCCATTGTATTTTTGATCTAATCGCCAATCCCACTGCTGCAAGCCTGCAATATATTTTAACAAATTAAATGTGTTACTAAATTAACAAAATGCACGTGTGAAAATCTAGTCCCCGGCATGCAATTTCCTATTTTGAAATGAATGCAAATTTTGAGGTCTGAAAACATCGTGCAAATCTTTTAAGCCTGACCAAATACAATTGAAATCTATCCATTCTTGCGACTGCTATGTATATTTAATTTGCAAGACCAGAAAAAAAAGTACAACCTCAGTCATGAATGAAGAATTTGCATATTCCTGCTCAAGCCTCTGCTAGGTTCTGCAAGTTTGCAATTCCCCTGGCAAGAGTGGTGTTCATTGCTTTGTGCCCGCGTGTGTGTCCTCTGGTGCACGGCACGCACCATCGCAGGGATAACGATGTTTGCTATAGGCGTAGGTCAGACTGTGGAGACCGAGATTAAAGAAATCGCCTCTGATCCCGACGATGATCACATTTTCTACGCACGTAACTTTTCTGCTGTTCCACAAATAGCAGAAAAGCTCAAACGCAGGATCTGTGAAGGTAAGTCTTTTTTGGGGGAGGGGGCGCCTGTTTTGTCTTCATGCCCTTTTACTGAAAGCAGACAGTTCCTTTCATGTTTAAAAGCCCGTATACTATGTACATTTGAAATTGTATGCAAATGGTATCTGTATAAAAAAAATATTTTACTTATATCTTTGGTTGTAATGGATCCAGAATCTGCCAGCTTGATACTGCCTCACATGAATAAAGCACAGCGTAGACAAACACCATGCCAACCGGATACATTTAATGAATGCGAGTGCCCAATTAGAGGTTGGCCTATTTCTTTGTTCGAGCTCAAAGCAATCCATACGTTTAAATAAAAGGAGTGATGTTCGCCGAAAATAAGTTTTCAACCTTGAACTTATTCGCATTTTTTTAGTTGAAAGTCTACCGATTTCTCGAGTTAAACACGTGGCAATTTTTTTGGGCACTGGCAGAGCTATAAGTATGCGTCAGAGATCGTGCTGAGTTTGAACGTACGTGTGTTTGCTCCGGCCGGAACCATAAGTGCACAAACATTGAGCCTGTGTGCTGTCTCATACCTTTACGCTTGAATGTGGATGGTTAAAAATGCTCACCCCATGTGTGTAATGTCTGTACAAAAGGCGAATAACATCGTGCCACAGGTCCACATTCCTGCTTGTGTTTGAACAAATATGGTACAAGGTCTACCAACCAATGTAGGCAACAACCGAACCGTAATGTGGCTTATTATATACATATCTTAAATGAACTATTACCCAAAGTATCGTTAAACATTTAGTATTTGTTACATTTTATTCCACCTTAAGTTGATATTTTTGTCATTTAAAATATCATCAGCCATTAACAAACCACTGCTGGATGATGGCCTATCCAAGCTGTCAGCCTCCCTCTCGGTCACACAATGCAACAATCTATTCGCACACGAGCTGATCTCATTGGCCAATCTTCGACGAGGATGTCTACTCAAGCACGTTCCTTTCTTTTGCTACCACTCCATCATTAGTCTCGACCACCAGCCATCATCATGTCGAGTGATATGTCCAGCCCAAACCACGCTTACTTTTGTTTACAATATGATTAAAGACACGTATCATCATGCCAACCATATTCCGAAACGTTAACTGTTACAATATTGTATTTATACATCTATTCTCCGTGAACTATGGACAATGTTACTGAGACAAATCGGAAGCTAAAATGAAAAGAAAACAATGACGTGGAAGGGATTCAACAGTAATCTGATGTCCTTTTCCACGGTTTTGGCCTCGTGCTTTGCGGCGTGGTTCTGTGGACGATTCCCCGTTGGCTGCGCGGGTTGTCTGTCGTGCGTGTGGCTGCGCGTACGTCGCTTGGCTTCTTTGCTTGCCCCTTCCCTGCCCTGCAGAGGAGGCGCGGAAGGTGGTGACCGTGGAGGACCCCTGCAAGTGTGAGGCCATCGTGGCCTTCCGCACCAGCGTGCACACCATGCTGGATGCCATCCGAGACACACATATCCTTCTGAGCCTTGACAAATATGGGACGAATATTCCCTGTGTAGGAGTTTACAGACTGGCGGAGCGAGTGCTGTCCTACCCGTGGGACCTTGTTTTCTCGAGTATTAAAATGATGGGAAAAATAAGAGTAGGCTTTATATTTTCTGATAATAAAACAGGTGTTGACATGTTCAAACACCAAAAAATAGACACCCATTGCAAGGCATCAAGTCTGCATTTAACCACACATACGTGTGGCACAAAAACATGCCTTCCATGCGGCCTTGTCTCACCAGTGTTAGACCAGAGAGCATAATTGTTTGCATGTTTTGTCACAAGTCTGTGTGGCTAATGCAGACTTGATGCATTGCAATATGTATATAATTGGTGTTTGAACATCTTAAGACCTGTTTCATTCCCAGAAAGGGTAAAGCCTATTCTTAGTTTTTGTTCCATCAGGTACTGTTAGCGAGCACCCATTGAGGTGAGCACTAGAGGGATGTGTGGCTAGCACCTGAAGCTGGTTGCCTCTGTCTGCCGAGTCCTGGAGTTTGAGTCGACATCAACGAGGCCCAGTGGTCATCCTCTTAAGAGGAGGTGCAAACAGATTCATGGAAAAATGTCGCATTTTTTAAAACTTTTCATTGTCATAAACCGTACGATAGAGAGAACGCGTTTTTCTGCAGGCTACATTCCAGAAGAAGATTTCGAGAGATGCAGAAATGTTTGGAAATGGGTTAATGTCTTGTTGTTTCTGACAAAGCAAAAACATCTTGTTTGAGAGGATGGTGCAGTCACTCTGTGTTTTATTTATTACCCATGGCATGCATGCCTAATTGAGATAATCGAAGGATGAATATAAATGACTGTTTTCATCCGCACCCAGGGACCGATGTCACGTAGAAGTAATTAATTAAATACAATACACAATGTTATCTCCCCAATTGGGACTCAAGTCCCCTACAGTTTTGTGTTTATGCTGACAAAGAGTTCATGATAAGTTTGGCAGTTATATTTTTACAGTTATGTAGTTAAACTAAACTATTAACTATTTATTTTGTATTTTACCAGGTAAGGCCCACTGAGCTATATAGCTATTTTTCGCAAGCGACCTAGCCACAAATGATAGCTCAACAAAGTGGCTTATCATGTGGAAATGTATAGCAGCCAAATACTCTAAACGCATGTTTCTAAATGTGGAGGAGAAAACCGGAGAACCCGGAGAAAAATCCACGCAACCACGGGGAGAACATGCAAACTCCAAATATACAGCAGGCGTCATGGTCGGGATGAAACCCACGACCTCCTGTATATCAGGCGAGATAGTTAACATCTCGCCAGGGTGACGTCTAGTTGTATGAGGTGCTACTTCGTTGAGAGTCCTTAATTTTTAATTTACTGGCAGAGATCACCCTCAGATTAGAATATTTGGAAGCGAGGCTGGGACAGCCTTGAACATTCACAGGATCTTCCAAGTCATCTTCTTCAAAAACTTCATGAAGAAGAAACACCTTAATTGTATTTAGCAAATATGTAGGCATTGTTTATATAACTAAAATGTAAACATTATGAACATTACTTCACAATTTCCTAGTTTGTATCATTCACTAGTAGTGAACAAATCTTGTTGTTTAAAACTGAAAATATTGTTTAAAACATTATTTTTGACAATTATAACGTGGATATCTTCATTTTATTACGTGTAAATGGTGAAATGTAAAATTGTGTAAGAGTATTTTATCAAGGCAATTATAATTTAGTCGTGCGAGGTATCTTTATTGCTCATGCACAATATTGATGAATATTTTCTTACATTGAACAGCTGGGAGATGGCTTCTTTGTGAAATGTCTTAGAATACCACATTGTCCTTTTTTTGTCAGAAAATTAATAGAAATATTTAAGAAAGACATCTGTATTCATGTATATTAATAAAACATAAAAGCATTTTCCTCTTGAGTGTTTCGTTTTAAACAAGTGTTACACGTCGATGCCTCAATGACCTCAAGATGACCTTTTTTAGGTGACTCCGTATCATTCTCAGCTGTAGACACTGCCCATTTGCACATTAAGAGCATGAATTTTGAACCACAGTGCGACTGCAGAAGAGCAAACAGTCTGATTCCATCATGTCTGTGGAATGAGTTGAAGCCATTCACGAGGTGGGGTTTTTTGAGGCCTCAAATAGATGCAACATTCTCACCTCGCTGGTGAGCCAGACTTGGCTCTAGTCCCATAGTATGTGCTTGTTCAAGCACCCCCTGAACTGGAGACAAGGGCAAGGATGGAGCAGAGTTTTTATTCATGTGAGTCATGTTATCGTTATCATCAGCCTGAATCTATCCACTGCTGAATGAAGATCGTCCCACGCTGTCATTCCTCGTGGTCTTGCAATGCCACAATCCCTCTCGCTGTGGCACATCAACTAAACTATTACAATTAAGCAATGTCAATCTTACCAGGTAAGGCCCACTGAGCTATATAGCAAATTTTCAGAAGCGACCTGGCTACAACTGATAGCTCAACGAAGTGGCTTATCACGAGGAAATGTATAGCAGTCAAATACTCTAAATGTATGTTTCTAAATGTGGTGGGAAAAAAACCGGAGGGACCAGAGAAAAATCCACACGATCACGGGGAGAACATGCAAACTTTAAATATACAGGCGTCGTCAGGGTCGGGATCGAACCCAGTACCTCCTGTATACCAGGTGAGGGAGTTAACATCTTGCCACCGTGGCGCCCAAAGATGATCTCGTCACTCCATCTTTGCAGAGGTCGTCCAATGGGTCGTGTTATCTCCATTGGATGCAATTCTGTCACCAGTCTCGTCCATCGGTTATCATCCATCCTAGTGACATGATATGAGTCCTGGCCAATTCCCCCAAAAAAGGACTTGGGCAAAAATGTTATATCATTTGTGTCCATAATAACGCTCTATAAACGTGGTATAAACATTCCTGCTTACAATTGGGTGGCTGGTGTGGCGCAGCACAATGGAGCCCTATTGTAAGGTTGTCAATCCAAATCCTTGTGTGTGTTTTTAACTCGCAACATTTATTCCTCATGAGTTGATAAAGTGGGTACAACCTTGCGGGGAAGTCGACAGTGGTTGTTATATGGAAATATTCACCCCCGCCATAAAGATGTGGAATTTTCCAACGAGCTCAGGGGCTGCACATAGGAGATAAGCACCAACCCTGTGCTAAATTAAGGGAGAAACCCCTTAGGTCTATTTTTACTGCATATATGATGGTAAAAATCAATGTGTATGCAGTGTATTGTCCTTTTCAGAAACTCAAAAGTAAAAAAGTGAAATGTAATTTTCTGAAAGTGAACAGTTACATGGAAAAATTGCAACTTATTTCCATTTAATGTGTTTTTTATTTGGTATACAGGCATTATATTCAGTCGCAGTACATGTTTCTTACAGACACTAAATTTAAAGGCAGAAATGTCAATATGTACAAAACCACCAGACTTGACAAGGATTTGAGAAATAGTCATGTCGGGAGAAGTCGGCCAGACCAGTGATGTTTATCGTCTCTTCGAGTGTGATTTCACCAGGATTATATCACGGAGTACTCTTAGCATAGAACAAAAAACATATCGCGTCCACGTGTCATCGGTAATAAAGTATCTCCTCGGCAGTGGTCGCCAACCCTTGTTTGTGCTTAGCACACTGAATGCCCCCGATCTCATCATATCTGAATGCTCCCAATAATATTGTTTTCGTATCATCCTCCAAAGTCCTGCGACCCCAAGTAGCGTTAACTTGTTTAAGGCTTCGACGTGCAGTTCTTAACTGTGCAATTTGTTTTACTTTTAATCCAGACACCTCCAGTTTGTATCTCAATGTTGATTCGCTGAAATTAAGCAGATGCGCGAGGTGACATTTAGTTTTGTGTTCATGGGTCTTCGCGCGAACTGGCAAACTTCAAAGAAAAATCGTCACTGCTGTTGAATATTGTGACAATGCTTTTTTGACTGGACCAATAATTTAGCATGGAAGCTAAGCCTTCAGCAGTGGGGGAGTGTGATAGGGGGCAGCCCCCCTACTCTGCAGGGCTATGCAGCCCTTATCAAAAATGTGAGCACCACCACTACAATGCACAGTTTAGCATAGTCATACATATGTACACAACATAATACGTGTATGACCTTTAACAGCTGGCTGAAGGAACACTATGGAAGGTGCCTGGGGCATTGTATCTCTTATACCACAGAGGTCATGTACATGAACAGTCCTTTATCAATCGGCGGTTGCATGAGGGGCTCCCTTGCTTTGCAGCTCGTGGGAATTATTTGAATATACTTCACCACACTGGTCAGTGCAGGTTTGTGAAGGTGGGGAGCATAGATGTAGAACGATACAGGTCTCTGGGATATAATGTTCAGCATGCCATGATTTAACGATTCAAATCAATGCTTACATTCAAGATAAATGCATCGAATTGTGCGTGTGAAAATTGATTATTTACCATTTCTGCAATTTATATGCTAATATTACCTTTAGGCAAATGAGAAGGGAAACAAAAAAATGTAGATACAACAACAGTACACGGGAACAATTTGAATTTATATAGCATCTAAAAGGTGACTGCATCTCAAGACCCTTTACACGAGGGAAGAGGTGAAATGAGGGTAAAGAGGGTGGGTGCGGTCGTGAGGTCATGGACAAATGGGAGAGAGGAGAGAAAGACAGCAGCACCCTGTGGTTGTTTGCCATCGAGTGTGCAGCCAGTGCAAGTTCACCGATTGGTAGAGGGGGGTGGGGGGCACTGTGCTACGAGGTGGAGGTGGGGAGGCAAGCAGGGGACCCCATTTAATTCGTTGTATCACGACCTATGCCGACCACACTATGCCTCTGGCAACACTGTGGCACGGTCCATGGCAAGCAATCGAGGCCAAGCCCGGTCAGAGAAAAAAAAGCAACCAGGGCCTAACTAATCCTAAGGGGCAATGAAGACAGCCCGGCACCAATGGGCACCAGGGACAACCGGGGAAACCAGGGCAGAACGAACAACTCTCAGGGCAGCCTTGGGGCATAGAGGCCCTTCAGCAACAAGCGACAGGTAAGTCTCGGGTAGGTCAAATGGGACTGTGAATATGACAAACAATACAAACAAGAACCACATTTTTTAAAATGTATTCTTGAATTAAATCGTGACCCCGAATCGTAAAAAAATCATACAATCCCTGGGTAGGTGGTGTGTTAATACAATTTAGGGGCAGAGGCCTCTACATTGTATTCCTGGTGACACCAATCCAGTAGTATATGACGGATTTTGCATTAATTAAAAAGCACTACACATGCAGTGACTAGCACTATGAACCCAGAAACCTGAGTTTATTCCAAACTATGGCTAATATCGGCGGTAAGTAATATCTCAACTGCTCCTGGGGCATTTATTTCAACAACCCACCCTGACCAGCATGATGAAGCATGGTCAAACAACCCCCATGACCAAAGTGATGAAGGCCTGTACACATTACAATGTATCCTTCACTCAAGTTTACCAGACTTACAAGTACAAGCAGTTGTTAATATAGTCGCAGGGTGACAGTGGTAGTTTGGGGGGGGGGGGAGTAATTCATGTTATGTTTCTGGAAATATAATCGCCTGTTGCATATAGTGCTAATTAATCCTTAAACGAGTGTGAGCACGTGAGAGTCAATAGACAATCCGCGTGAAAAGTTTAAACCCTGCCCTCGTATAGGCTATTCTAGGCTCTTATGAAACAAACAAACGTTAGGCATGAATACATGGCAAAACTCCCAGAGTGAACACATTGTCAGCAAGAACATTTATCAATGGTGGGGGTGTATGTATGTTGAACTTCTTTCGCACCGTATGTAGCCAACCGCGCTCGTGGGGAATGACAACAAACAAAACACAAAAAGCAGTTCAAAGAAAATGCGTTTCCGAAATCAGATTTGAAAGTGCATCGCTGCAATGGCTTCCTAATATCGGAAGGAAGAGCATTCCAGACGGCCGCAGAAGCGCATCTGAAACTGCATGATGCAGTGGCCGTCTTTATTCGATGGTTCGCCAAAAGCCACTGGGTAACCAGAGTTTGCGTGATGGTGTATGCTCCTTGACGAGATCAGCAATGTACTGTATTGTGGTTCTAAAGTTATTTTGGGGAGAGTTGGTACTGCATTGTTTATAATGTTTCAAACTTTTAACGTAATTATCACTTGGTGTAGAGTTCTTGTGTAATCATGAACAATAACGTGATAATTTGAATTAAATTAACGGTCAATCAATAGTTACTTTGAAACATTATACTTTAAAATCAACAAATACAATACATGACGAACAGTAAATGCTAAAACCTGACAAAACTTAGCAGTGGTTATGTGCAGTACAATAGAAATTCTTTACATTTTTAAGGTAGCGACATGATACATTCCAGAAACTGGGGGTGCACTATGGCATGAGTAAAATAAAACTGTATTTTAGGCATGAACACGAACATATAACCATTCATTTTATTAATACATTCGTTTTCACATAGTTTGCTGCAAGAGAATAAATTAATCAAACAATTGATTATTTAGGTCTGATATGGTTGACTTGCACACGCTGTAAAATATACACTGAGCTGGCTTTGGCATTGGATGCTTCCATCTATATACTTTTCCCCCAATAATTTGTGCTATTGGTCTCATGCTATGAGACGTCGTATCTATTTGTAACTTTTGCAGAGCAATGCATCACCATTTATTGGAGAATGGCCTGCAGATGCAGATTTTGCAGGACTTATTCTGACATTTTCAGTTGACCATTTTTATTCACATAATAGAGGGCACACATTCCCATGCGTATTTTTTTACAGACAAACGTCCACTGCATGGCAGTCAAATTGTGTGTTTTTTATTCTTCGAGCTGGAATTTAGCTTGATGTCTTTTGGGTACAAATATTGGTGACCGGTGAGAATATCAATT